AAAATAGTCTATTAAAGGGCATGATATTTATTTATTTATATAATAATAATAATAATAATAATAATAATAATAATAATAATAATAATAATAATAATAATATAATACTACTATAACGAATTAGCCTTACAAAACGAATTATTCACATACAGAAACTGAGAAACGCGTAATCATGCATACTATTAGCCTTAACGAATTATTATTACTATAATTAGTATGCACGTGTAATTCATGGTATTTAGTATGCAGGAATTATTATTCATTTGTTACTATGCACGAAAATCATGCAATAGCTATTAGTATTAGTATTTAGTATTTCATAATTAAATTAAATCATCCTTAATTTGCACCCTTGATTACATAATTTGGAACGCAAATTATTCATTTATAATTAATTTGCACAAATTCATAGTTATAAATACCTCATTGGTCATGCTTCTCATTCATTTGCAATCCTCTTCCTATACTTTTCAATTTTCATACGCTAAACTTTTCAACTTTTCAATATGGCTCCCACCTTCAATCTACTTAACCAAATCACTGCTACCTCCACGAATTGTGCGATACAAGTTCGCCTAATCCGAATGTACGAGTCAACATTCAACAATAACACCTACAATTCTCAAACTTTGGAGTGTGTGTTTCATGTTTCTAAGGTGTATTCGTCACTTTTAGTATAGATATATATAGATTATCTTTTAGTCTATATATATCTCTAATTTCATTGCAAAATTAAACAAAATATATAATAATTATTAGGTACAGTAGCTTGCAATATTTTCAAATTTAGTTCGTTAAACTTAATTCATTTATCGAACAAAAATTACAGTAGCTTGCATATTTTATATATATATATATATATATATATATATATATATATATATAGAATTATTCAACATAATTTTAGTATATAGAATATTAATACTTTTCATATTTTATTTCCATTAATCATTTACCATTGATAATTACAATGCTAAAAAACACACAATATTCATGATGATTTAATTGGTTTCGCCCGCATGGGTAGCTTAACTGGTCATAGAGGTGAAACTTTGAAAGAATGATCAGGGATCGAGTCTCACTAGCAGCAGTGTAAGAGTAAACTCTCAAAGTGAGGGGGACTCCTTGTGCGCAGTGAGCATCGGTCTAGCCTTTATGGTTCATGTTCATCCTCCCAAATGCTCTGTCGGGCTGGGGTGTAGGGTTGTGGTGCAACCTTTGGAAGAATGATTTAATTGGTTTCTATCTATTTTTAGTGTAACATTTATTTTTAAGCCAATCAAAATCTAGGCATATTTGTTTTCTCATAAAATGTTTATGTTTATGGAAATAATTATGGTTAGCCATTAATGACTCCTTTCTTAATGAGCCTTAACTTAAGATTGAAGTTACAAACAAAAGGGTGGCAGAAGACACTAAGAACATTCATCATAAAACATAAAGGGTAAGCATTGCGATTACAGACCATGAGAAAGATTACATCTTCATGCACCATTCGGTCAAAGAGGAAATATTATCATCAAAACAAAGGTATTTCATTCTCATTTCAAAAATATAAATATAGTAGAAAATATTTTGTAGTTATCATGTAGTCAATGATCTATGTCTTTTTATTAAACTGTTAGCACTAAAAACCACTAATCTTTTGGTGAAAATGGTGGTTCGCCTATGTTTTCTCTTTTGTATTAACCCAATAGTCGCCTGAAATGTTAGGAAACTGTAATAAGATTTAGAAAAATTACATCAACACCAACATGCACAACCATAAACAATATGTTCCGGGATAACCAGGCTGCTATGTCTACGTACATTCAACTAAAAAGTACTTAGAAAATTATAATAGATCTATACATCAACAACCAACATGGTATATACCACGAAATTTTCAATAATTTATAATTTTGTCACTCTTATTTTTCTATATTGTATGTTAAAGTAATTTCTTTATTGTTTCTATTTTCCATTTTATATTTCCGTTCCAACTTTTTATATATTACATCATCTCTTAAATTTTCACACAATTACACAATAAGATAAACAATATTCATCCCATGTATCGCATGGGTATCATACTAGTTACTAATAAAACAAAATTTCTTTAACTTCTTTTGTGTTGATTGGCCAATTAAATTATACTCGAAGAGCATCATAATATACTAGAGGAGTGCGATGAACCGGATTGTCAAACCATTTGAATAGATTGGTGGAAGAAGTGTTTTTATAAATACCAATTTTGGTCCCACGAGTATTAGCAAAATGACAGTTTTGGTCCACATGTTTAATTCCTACCAATTTTCATCCACGACTATTGTTTTAGTACCAATTTTCATCCACAACTATTGTTTTAGTGCCAAAATTCATCACGCCGGTCACCCCTTCGTTTAAGACATGCCGGAATATGAAATTATTAAGGGTAGTTTCGTGCTTTTCAAATTAAGATTCATATTTGAGCATGAATAAAGGGATTTAAGCCCTAAGATTTATCCCAATTCGCAGTTTTCCTCCTCAAATTAATGTAGAATGAGGAGGAGAATTGCGAATTGAGATCAATCTTTGGGCTTAAATTCATTTATTTATGCTCAAATTGGAATATTAAGTTAAAAAGGACGAAAATGCCCTTAAAATTTTTAGATTTCGGGATGTTTTAAATAGATGGGTGACCGATGTGATGAATTTTGGTACTAAAATAATAGTCGTGGATTAAAATTGGTACAAAAACAATAGTCGTGGATGAAAATTGGTAGGAATTAAACATGTGGACTAAAACCGTCATTCTGCTAATACTCGTGGGACTAAAATTGGTATTTGCTCCAAAATTTTATTTGTAATACACGTTGTGATTTTATTTATTAAAAAAAAAAAAAAAAAAATCAGGCCAACCTCGACCCGGCCCATGACCTATAATATGCATGGTCAGCCCAACCCAGTTGGCCGTAATGATTGTGGTCCTGTCTATTACGAATATATTTTATTATTATTATTATTTTATTGAGTATTATAGTTTTCTGTGTTATTTTATTTGTAAGTTATTAGATAGCATCACAAAAATTCAATCTTGCAATCATCCATTTGAAATGATAACTAATGTATCATCAATATTATATGATAATTGACTTATAACTTATCATTTATTAGCATATTAATTATAAATCCATATACATAATATCATGAAGGATATGAAATTTTGGAATACACACCTTACCTGGGCAGCTGGGCCCCTATAACAATATGAGCCATGCTAAGTCCATTTATTCAATAAATTGGACATTAGGCTATAGGTACCATTTTTGTCCATAATAAATAATATTGAAAACACGTCTCAAAATCCAAATCCATGAGGGCTATTACAAATACTATACAAATTATACAAGTAACTCAAAAAAGAAATAAGGCAATAGACTAAGAAAGTTAAGTCTTCGTTAAGTGATAATGATGATATAAAGAAAACTCAACCCTCTACTATTTATATTATTTTTAGGGTCAGAAATAACAGAGAATATAATGAGTGAATGAGAATGTCTAGAAATTCCAGACCACACACTTGTCTCGCCAAATTGTTAAACTACCACCAAACCACCCCCTACCCCCACAATGCACCTTGGGCATGAAAACTCACCGGTTGCTCCCCTCTCCAATCGCACTTGTGCCCCAGGTGTGAAGGTGCAAGATGGCATCTCCTTCGTCCCGGGGGGGGGGGGGGGGTGACGAAAAGTACCTTGAAACCATATACTTTATGTCGCACTCTAATCACAAAATTTTCTTCTATTCTTTACTTTATACCATCGTTTCAATCCTTGCACTATCACCCCCTTTACTTTAATATTTAGTCCAATTAACACATATAACTCTTCCATTTTTATAAGTCTCAATTCTCAAAATCTTACATATACGTTTCAATAATTATTTAGACCTAATTAATCTTGGGCTCAATTAACTTTGAATTAAAACCTCATATCTCATACCTCATACCTCCATTATTGTTACGAGTTTATTATATATTATATAAATTAATTTTTAATACAGTTACTATTTTCTAGATGAATATGATTTAGTTTGCCATTTGTCACCTCTAAATTTGAAAATCAAGATGGGAGTCCTTGAAATTTCTAAGGTGTTTAAGTCTTTGATGGAAAGAGTGGAAATTTGGGAAATGAAGTTCTAGAAGGTAAGAGTAAGAAATCTCAAAAAAGAAGGTAAGAATAAGAAATTTTATGTTGAATACAAATCATTTAAATTCTTCAACAGCGCCCACTGCCCACGCGCTGGACCTACTCCCAACGTCCGTTTTCCTATCAGACAAACTTTGTTACATACAATTTTATTAAAAATATATATATATATTTTATTAATTTAGTTTATTATCCTCAAAAAACTGTTACGGAGTATTAAATATAGATGATTATGCTTTTGTTTAATAAATATGACAAAATATTATAATAACATTTTTTTTTTATTATAAGGAAGGGGGATACCCTACATATACACACTATTACCTCAATTGAGGTTCAAACCTTACACCTCCCACTTAGGGGAGCAATTCAATACCAGTGGACTACAAGTCACTTGGTCCATGGAGTCGAACCCAACAAGATAATTCAAGTGGCAAATAAATTCTTTTTGTATAAGAGAATTTTGGGATAACCCAAATTCGATTCGATTCGATTTCTATAAGTGATGATTCTCTTTGGGCCAGCTTATGCGAATTGGGTGAACCTAGACTGTTAAGGAAAAAAAATATATATATCCAGACCACTGTGCGGTTTACATCAAAAAAAAAAAATTATAGTCAACGGAGCCATCTTTCCTTTCGCGTCACGGCGGCTCTGACGGTCAAAAATGGAAGTTCGTCCCTACTCCCTTCCATACAGATTCTTATAACTCATGTTTGATGTCTCATCTCCGACGCGTGGCGTTCACCCCACTCAACACTTTCCCAGAAACTTCACCGAATATACCTAACTACGCACACGCCCATACATGTATGTGTGTATATATATATATATATGCTTGAACCATCTTTTCTTCCTCAGATCAGCTCCATTCATTTTCTCTCTGCATTCAAAGTTTAATTTGAATTTTCTCCGAACCCGTTTTCCGTTTCCGATCATTATACTACCGAGAATGAATTCCATGAGGATGGCTGCACTCCCAATTCTTGGATTCATGTTGATGGCTCTGCTTCAACTCGGGTCGGGTCAAATCACGGCTCCTTCTCCTGCTCCGGCCGCCGCCCCTTCCAATGATGGTAAGTTGTAAACCTTAAACCCTGCCGGCAAATCTGCTGTTTCATCGTTTGGGTCGAAAAATTCACATTAATTAATTCAGGTAAATGAAGCTAATGATGTGATGTTGATTTGGTTGTTGCAGGCGTCGCCATTGATCAAGGAATTGCTTACGTTCTTCTGCTGGTTGCGCTGGCGGTTACATATTTAGTCCATTAATTAACAGAGTAGAAGATCAGAGATTCTTTTTTAGACATTTTACTAAGCTACCAAATTCTTTATTATTATGTATTTGATTTTCTCCTACACCTGGAGAATTTCATACTTTTGTATTCTTTCTTGATGGGATTGTAAAGGAGTTTTTCTTCGGTTAGTTACTACATATATTATATGTATAATACAAATTCGTTTACAGTTCATATATTCGCCAAGATTTCTTGAAATTGTTGGAACGAAAAGTAGAGTTAAATTTAGAAATGAGTTTTTTTACTTTAAAGTTATTCAAATTCAAATTTTAGTTCTCGGAGTATTAATTTCAAATGGTTGTGTTAGTTGCATTGGTTTGTTTTGATATGGAATATATAGTTAATTTGATTATGTTTTAAATGTTTTTAAAAATAGAAAATCAGATACTATATTTTAATAGAGTCAATAATATAAAAAAAAAGGAATAAGGGTCAAATAGGCCACTGAACTGCACACAATAATACAATTAGGCCACTGAACCTAAAAAAACAACAATTGGGTCCCTAAACTAACTAATTTTTTTCAATTTATCCAATTTACCAGTTTTCACAGTTTTTAACAGGTTACCCTTCCACCTAGGATGCATATGTGGCATTTTTTTTAATTAAATTATTTTAATTTTTTTAAATATTTAATAAATAAAAACTAAAACAATTTAATTTCCTATTAAAGAGACTAATCACAGTAAACAATCGGCTTCATCAATCATCGCACCTCCACCGCAAACCACCATTCGGAACTCACCACTCATTCTCCGTTCACAATCGGAACTCACCACACATCACTGCTAAGTTTTCAACCGCAATAACTTCCAAAAGGTATGGTTTAGCTTGATACTTAAAGTACATATAGGTATTCGTGTTTGTTAGTTTTATGTTAGGGTTTGGGTTGTATGTATTCTGGGGATTGGGTTTATGTAAGGGTTTTGTATAATTTATAAATTGTATTCCTGTAATATGTATACAATGATTTTAATTATGTATTCTAGGGTTTAATTTATAGATTTTAGGTCAATGATTTTAGATTAGGTTTATTTTATATTGGTTCATTTCAACATTTTTATTTTTACGGCATATGTTTGGGTTGTATGTATTCTGGGGTTTAATTTATATGGTACTGTTTGGGTGTAATTGCAGCTCTCTCCCAAATTTATAAATTGTATTCCTTGAATATGTATACAATAATGCTGACAAGTTTTTTTTTTTTTTCCTGAAAATGTGGTCCTTCTTTGTTGTTTTGATGTTGGAATTTTTTGAAAACTGGCCTGCAAATGGGGCCCATGCTGAAACTTTGATGGGTATGCATCATACTAAAGTTTATTGAATTTTTTAGAGTATTTAGTTAAATGAATGCTAGGTGTCATGTTTCTATTTGTTAAATGGTACTTAGTTTGCTTTATTGTTTGGTAGTACAGTGTAACAGTGTTGTTAAATGGTACTGAGTGTGTTTGGTTGTTTGGTGGCTTAAAGATGTGTTTTGTTTTTAATTTTTTTTTAAAGTTCTAATTAACTTCTTTACTGCACTGCTAAATAGTTTTTAATATTACCATAGTTATTGCAGAAATGTGTGCAAGTGTTGAGTTAGTAGTCCACCATGGTGGAAATTTTGTAAGAAGTCCTGAGTTCAAGTATATCAATGGTGAGGTTAATAGGATACAAATTGACCCCGATCTTATTTCATATCCCCATTTAGCAAAATATATAAAAGATGGGCAGTATGGAAATATGCAAAGTTTATACTACAAAGCAACCCATGAGCCTCTGAGACAACTCAAAGTTCTGTGGAATGATGAAAGTACTTTGGACCTCATTAGTTTGGCAACAAAATGGAAGAAATGTGACATCTACGTACATCATGGAATTGATGAACCTGAAGTGATTCCAGGATTGTTATTATGTGTACCTGAGAATGTTTATGAAGGACATGTAGCTGAGAATGTGGATCAAGGTCAGGAGATGGATCATGTAGTTGAGGTTCCACTTGAAGATGATTTTGAAATTAATTATGAAGCTGAATATGAGATAGATAGTGAACATGATGAGGATGATAATGGATGGGTTACACAAGATAATGAGATTGGAAATAACTCTTGGTTAGATGTTGGGTTGGATGCATCAAAAGAGGATCTTAACATGGAAGAAAATGATGTCAGACATGGAAATGATAAGGGAAAGGGTAAGGCAAAGGCAAAGAATATATATAAAGCTAAGTCTACAAGATCAAATCAGAATGAAGTTGAGGGAAACAAAGTATGTATTGATTATGGAAGTGATAACTACTATTATGACTCCGAAGATCCACCAACTTGTGATTCAGAAGATGATGTTGAAAGGGAAGCCTACAGATGCAAATTCCCATCTTATAACCCAGCTTGTGATTATCCAGAGCTTGAGATAGGAATGTTGTTTGATGATGCAAGTCAGTTTAAGAGTGCAATGATAAAATATGCAGTGCATGAGAAGAGAGATATTCAGTTCTACAAAAATGAGAAAATGAGAGTTAGAGTGAAATGTCTGCCTGGTTGTCCTTTCCTCTTACATTGTAGCTGGGAAGAGAGGTTTAAATGTTTCCAACTGAAAACAATGGAGTTAGAACATAGGTGCAATTGTAGATATAATTTAAGGGTTGTAAGTCAGAAATGGCTTGAAGAAAAATATGAGGAGAAGATTATAAGAGATCCTACCATGAAACACACTAAGTTGAAGGATGATATAGAGTCAGAGTTGAAGATTAATGTTAATGTGATTATGGTAAGTAGGGCGCACAAAGCTATCCGGAAGAAAATTAATCAAGGCTTTTCTGAACAATTCAAAAAAATAAGAGATTATGCACAAGAATGTTTAGATTCCAATCCTGGAAGCAGTGTGCCTATTACAACCAATAGAGTAGTCCCTAATGCACCATGTACATTTCAAAGAATATATGTGTGCTTTGACGCAATGAAAAGGGGTTTTCTTGCTGGGTGTAGGCAGGTTATAGGACTAGATGGTTGCTTTCTCAAAGGAACACTTAAGGGTGAGATTTTAGTTGTAGTTGGGAGGGATCCGGATAACCAAATGTATCCCATTGCATGGGCAGTAGTTGAGATAGAGAATACTAATTCTTGGGAGTGGTTTTTAGAGTTGTTGATAAAAGACTTGGGCATCACCAACAGCCATGCATGGACAATTATTTCAGACCAACAAAAGGCTAGTGATTTATTGCTTCCTTATTTGATTTTTACTTTATTTGATATATTTTTATTAATATGATTTACTGAATTTTTTTATCTAATTTCTTTACTGATCTGATTTCTTATATTTCTGTACTTCTATTATTTCTTTACACATTATTCTTTATTGCTAATAACACTAGTACTACTTCTTTTTTATTACTTCTAATACTAAAACTATTAATAATGGTTTTGTTTAATAATATGATGCCTTTAATTTACTGCTTTCTAATTAATATGAAGTTTTTACTGCTGCTTTCTTACACTTTGTAATATGTTTTTTTTTTATTATTATTATTTGTTTATGGTTTTGTAGGGTTTGGTTAGTGCCATTCAACAATTGCTTCCTAATGCAGAACATAGAAATTGCGCTAGACATATCCATGCAAATTGGAGCAAGAAACATAGAGGCAAGGTGTTAAAGAGACTATTTTGGATGTGTGCTAACTCAACAACTGAGGACCAATTCAAATTCATGGTTGAGCAATTGGGGAAGAACGATATCCAAGCTAGAGATAATTTGTCCAATTATCCTGCTAAATATTGGTGTAAGGCATTCATTAGGACAGAATCAAAGTGTGATTCAATTGACAATAATATGTGTGAAGCATTCAATGGAACAATTGTCAAAGCAAGGTCAAAGCCAATCATCCCATTGTTAGAGGATATAAGAGTTGCCATGATGACAAGAATTGCAACCAAAAGACAAGCTTTGGAGAAATGGCCAGGGAACTTTGGACCAAGAGTGATGAAAAAACTTAATGCAAACATAATGGAGAGCATTGGGTGGCACGTTGACTTCAATGGAGATGATGGTTATGAGATCAAGAAAGGGAGACAGCAATTTAAAGTTAAGTTACAAGGAAGAAGTTGTTCATGTAGAAGTTGGGATCTAACTGGTATACCCTGCCCTCATGCTTTGTGTGCAATTTTTGATAAGGGTAGAGATCCAGAAGAATTCATTAATGATTGCTACTCCAAAGAAGTTTACAAAAAAATCTATAGCTACACAATTCAACCTTTGAATGGAGAACTTAGTTGGCCTAAAACTAATGCTGAAGAAATCCAAGCCCCTGTACCGAGGACGATGACGGGTAGGCCAAAGAAGAAAAGAACTCGTGAGGCTAATGAGCCTCCTGTTGGAAAGATGTCACGACAAGGCAGGATTATGACATGTTCTATATGCAAACAAAAAGGTCATTCCAAAACAAATTGTCCAAGTACTAGAGGTCAAGGTCCACCCCCTACTATTACAGGCACATCATCAACTTCTAGGTCTTCTGGTGGTGGATTGGGTATTTACACAAATCCTAATACTGGAGCAGTCATATTCAATGTAAGTCATTTTTTTATGAAATATTTCAACTAAGCATTCTAGTATTATAATATAATTGTTATGACCTAAACATGTTTGGGAATTGATTTATTCGTTGTATTATGTAGCCCGGACAACCAGGAGAACATGTAATTTATCGGGGAAGGAAGAACGCAGGTGTTGTGGCTAGGGGCAGACTGTGAAGTCCATATTTGAAGTGCAAATTGTTTGTTGAAAATGTCAGAATGTTATAATATTGAAGTGCAGATTTTATGTGTATTGCTAGAATTTTGGATGCTCATTAGTACTTAGGATGGTCAGTATCTTATGAAAAGTATTTTGGAGTTTGGATGTTGAATGTAACATTTTTTTGTGTTTTGCCATCTTATTGCTATAATGGTGTACTTATTTTGTATTCTAACTATTCTCGAAAGATGTTGATGCTAATATGTTTTACTTTTTCCATCTAACAACTGTTTTTTTTTTTTTTTTTTAGAACGAAAGAAGAAAAAAACCGTTAAAACAATTCAATTACTGCCAAATATACCAATAGTTCAATTAATCGTGGCCAGGAACGTTCAATAGTTTTTTAAAAAAAAACCATCGTTAATTTTTTTTTAAAAAAAAATTTCAAATTAAATTATTTT